TTTTTTTAATTATTTTATTTTAATTTCCTTCACTTTAGCACACTTTCACCAAATATTAAAAAAATTATTTAAACTAAACGCTGCTTAAGCAGAAATTATAAAAATAATTTTAATAAATTTTTTTTTTTTGTTTGCTTTCTGAAATGCAGTGACCAAAAATTATTAACAATTTTTTTTATTGCTTTTAATAAACTTTTCACCACTTCAAGCACCTTAACTACTTTTATTGAATAATTCAATGTACTTTTATCGATATTCGTTTAGATACTTTCAATTAAGAGAAGAGGAAGAAAACATTTGGGCAACTGCTCCACACTGGCGTTACCACATTAAAGTCGTCAATTAAGGTTTTTTGGACGCGCTTTACCAGTTACAACGGCACGACAGCAATGCGGACGACATGAACAACAACCACAACATGTTATCAATGAAAACACTGCGAACTACCAGAAAGACCCAATTTTAAACTCGTAACATCACTAACCCGAGCATCGATAGTAGTTTCACTGCGCGAAGTCGAAATTCAACTGAACTCGGCGACTGATAAAGTTGCAATTTTGGTTGCGCCGCCGCACACATAAAAATAAAGAAGCCATAAGAGCCTAACGAACCGCCAGTGGAAGGCGAGACGCAATCAACCGATCGGCTTGGCAAAATCAAAAGCCAAACGCTTGCTTGGTTACCACTTGGAATTACAAATTCGCATTGTTGTAAACTGAAGAGTCAACTGTGAGTTTTGAAAGAGCTTTGAAGCTTTCATCAGCGAATTTTAAGAGAAACGAAGCACAAACTTAAGAGATTTTAACTAAACAAGAAAATTTCAAATTGATAAAATTATTAAAATGTTTACATATCTAATGGGCCCTTTTGACGGCTCTAGAACCTCCGCAGAATTAAGGCCAATGTCACAAATTTAGTGATGAATGTAATTATGTTAATATATTTAATAAAATTACGACAAACATATTATTTTATCAACAAATGGGTAAACTATTTTAATTTATTAGTTATTAGTTAGTACTATTAGTTAGTTCGAACTTCAACAAGTGCATCAATCTAAGTGTACTAGAAAGTACTGCTTTTTAAGTTAGTAATACGGAACTATCCATCATATGCAAATAATGTAACTTAAAAGAGTGAAACTCATTATATACCATATGTCAGATGACTTTCCATTATGTTATCGAGTCATCAGGATCAATGTTATAAGTAAATATATATATATTCTGCTCAAAAAGTACTCGGATTTTGTAAATAAAACACACAAATTAATATTTTATTCCAAATTTATTTTATCTCCTTCAAAATATGCTTCTTCTGAAGCGATACACATATGCCAACGCTTAACCCAATCTTCCATACACTTTTCGTAGGCCCGTGAAGGTATGGCTTTTGGTACCTTCAGCGAATTCTCTTTTACCGATTCAATCAACTCAAAACGCTTACCACGAAGGGGCAATTTGAGTTTCGGGAACAGGAAAAACTCGCACCGATCCAGATCTGGCGAATATAGTGCCTGAGTGATGACAGTGGTGCCGTGTTTAGCACCACGCATCTTATATGCCTCCATAATATAACCAATACTGCATTATTATTCTAATATTTTTTATCGTTCATGTCAAACTTTCATTTCGATTTGTGAATCCATTGTTTTTTATAAACAATGACGACGATTTGAAGTGAACGTATCAATATATTTGTTAAAAGTCGAAAAAACTAAACGACATCATTTAATGCTTAAATTCCTTAGAAAGAAATTAGAGGCAATTATTATCAATTATTATTATTATTATAGCCGGAAGATATTATTATTACTACGGCCGGAAGAGATCTATTGTATACATTTCACTATTGATTACACAAAACCCTTTAAAGGGCTTAAAGTTTATACTGTTTATAATGCCAAATTTTTTTGGAAAAATCTTCTCTTTCAAACGAAATGGTCTTTAATTGGGATCACTTATTTAGAGATTGTCACTCGCGAGTGACACTCTTAAAGGCGATCCATATAAAACATATCCAAAGACTGCTTCAACACCAGAAATCGTCGCAACTGTGATGAAAATAATATTTTGCAAGATCTTTGATTGAAAATTAAGTGAATTATAATAGAACTTCTGTTATTGGGTTCAATGATTAATATTTAATGTCAATTTTCGACTTAAGAAGGCGGCAACGAAGGCACATTCGAATCACGAATTTGCTAACAACAGCTGAAGTATTATAAAAAATCAAGGCAAATAAAAGACAAAGCGCAATTTGTCCTACACACAAAGTAACGCTTCCTGTTTACACTATATCAAGTACATTGAAGCTAACTTACTGTTTATGCTGATTCAGCTATGATCGCTGTAGTCCAGCTTCACACAGTATTCTTTGCTTTCTTTAGGAACAATGTTGCGCTTATGGTTCCTCCTAAAGGAAACAACTAAGATACCACAAACAACACCACACTTGTCTTAAGAATGCAAATCTCAGCATAATTGGCTTGGTTTGGTTAGCTTTTGCTTGATTCTTCAAATTCAGTTCGAGTCGTATTTTAAGTTCATAAGAACTATATTAATAAAAAAACCATAAATCTGAATCTAAACAAATTGTACAGATCTGTACATAGAAAATATATTTATCGCAAATGAATTGTTAAAAAGCTTTTCTAAAAATATTCTTATCATCAACTCATATAGTAATCCATCCGATCTCACAAGTTGTCTTCTGCATGAGAATAGTAAGATATTTTTTATAGTTTTTGTTTTCATAGAAAGATACAAGTAGTTATCTTCACAAGATATAGGCAACCTCATCAGATCTTCATGAACATTAAATACGCACCTCGTTTTCTTAGTGCTCATATTTTCACATGTTTTCACAGAACATATATCTCAGATGTCAGTGATAAATACATTCTGAACGATTCCCCATCATTTAACATGTACTACATTATAATACTCATTTCTTCAAGTGATAAGTTTAGGTAAAGAGGACCATATAGCACGTTGAAAACCCTGTATATGGGAAAGTTAATATTTCATAATATTTGAAGCCTATACAATAAGCCCGCAGTCTTTTACAACAATAACATTTGATTTCCGATACTTATGTATGGAATTAGATATTTTATTTTCTAATAAAATATAATTGATTAATAATAAAATAAAAATAAATAATACCCAAGGACCTAAGTGGGTATTTTGCTACAGGATTCAACTTAAACAGTAGAAACAGATATCATATTGATCTATACGTCTGTTATGTTACACAAAAAATAGGGCGAGCTAATATCTGCTGAAATACCTCAGTATATTCTCCCAAAACCTACTTTATACAATGAAATAATATTCAGGCATATAATAACTTGGAACTAGTTTTGATGGGCTTTTATCGTATGTCTTTGTAATATATAAAATAGTACTGGTTAAAGAGCAATGTCAGCCGCTACCTAAGCAATTTGTTCTTGCACAAAGAGTAAAATCGTTAATCCCCATTGCTCCGTCAATCCCTACCTTCGTATCGCAAATTGCAATGAAAATAACCTCAATGGTGTCGAACATTGTCAGAAAATGTCAGTCCTTCAAACGGATACAATATTTTTTTTATCTCGATAATGATAAATCTTTCCATGATATCTCAAAGGAAGAGAGACATATTTCACATACAACAAGAACTATAATGGCTCATTCAGTAGTCGTAAAGCATTCACTAATCAATGCCCTATTGACATAAAATCAAACCCACTGACCTGTTAGAGTCATGTCCCTAGGTTCAGTGTGAATTCAATGTCATATAGTGATCGCATCCTTTTATATAGCCACATACCCCATCACTAACCGCATAACCCGAAGGAAAATGAAGCAAAAGACATGGATGGATTACAGGATTCCAACGGATTACTACAACAACAAATGAGTTATAATAACTAACTCATTTAAATAATTCGATAGTTCGCATAGACGATCAAATATAACTCACAGTTCTCAGCTAAATTTCATCCTTCACTAAAAAGAATGGGTTTGTATAGAAACGAGAAAGTACCTAGGCTATAACATATACTATAATTTTCTATCTTAATCTTATTTTGTTTATTTTAATAAAAAACCAAAATATAAACAGAATTTGTTATTTCTATTAGTTTTTATTACTAATTTCTGGGTTAAACATATTAGTTATTTTCTTAAAGTTTAATGTATCATTTCAGCATACACGTTATTTATATCATCCAAAAATTTAGTAAGTTATGATGCACATAAATTATTATATTTGACTCATACTTAGTACCACTAAGGCGTCTCCACTAACTCGTCATTAATGCGTCTTCATAACGTCGCCTTGGACAGTATTTGGCTATTATGTCCCTTTACTTTTTACTGTATTTTACAAAATTATCTGTCTCTAATCTTCATTTATTGAATGGATATAAAAGAATCAATCACTGTTCAAAATATCTCACCTCTCAGTACCTTACGACATTCATATAATTTTGTTTTATAAAATAAAACTTAATTTAACCCGGCTTAACGTTAGTTATTTAACATAAAAATTGTTAATAAATAAAACACTTACTCGTTTTTATTAAAATTTTAAACACATTAATATATTAAATATATATAGTATATTTAATATTAATATGTATTAATATGTATTAAAATTTATTAAAAAATTTAACAAAAATGAATGAGTGTTGCTTCTTAACAATGTTAGTGTTAAATAATCAATCTTAAGCTCGGTTAAGTTAAATTTTATTAAAATACAGATTCAAATAATAAACTTTTTTATTTTATATGTATGAAATGCAGTATATGGTACTTCGTTGTGGTTATATTAAACAAAACTAAAAAACTAATCTAATTTTACAATAGTCTTTATTACATTATATACTATATGATGTTTCATAGCTAAGATAAAATAAATATTACAATTTTATGGCAGAATAAACTTTTTTATCGGCGAAGTGATTATCTTTTCAAACCAAACTCTTAAAAATTGCTTCAACAACTTTTAACATACAGTTTTTTATTATCGGTTAAAAAATTATTTTAGTTACTATATAAGTTCTATTGTAAAATTTAAAAAACATGTTCTGACTTACAATGTTTTATTAAAAAAAATCTTAAAAAACTAATGGAATATTTAGAGCTTATTAAGTAATCATGTTCTAATTTCAGAAAGCATAAGATCGGCATAAGAACTTTTTGATAAATAATAGCTTAATTCTATTGATTACACGCTCTGGTTAATAATGTGTTTCAAATGAATATTTACATAAATTTTATTCGAAATAAAAAGCATACGCACATGTGCTTCATTAATGTTGATATTGGATCTTTGAATTTAATTGAATATAGCCTCGACTAAGGCTACCTCCAAACACTTATATATATATATTATATATATCATTGTACATATAATTATATTAGGTTATATGCATTTAAAAATAATTATAAATTAAACTATAGTTAGAATTATTTGAAAATATTTTTAACTTAATTATTACGGCGCGACTGACGTATATTTCTCTCGATTTCAAACTGCCGTAGATCAGTTCGTTGAAGAAAGTCCTGACGCTCCAAAAATCTAAGAGAATACAAATGTTATTATTTTTTTCATTTGTTAGCAGTACAAACTAACTTACCCATCTTTGCCCTTGTTAAATGTTTTTATTTCATCATCAATGCCTTCATCTTCTTTGTAGCTATTCCAATCTAGCTTCGATTTTTCCAATACAGACATTTTTTTCTTTTTGCCAATTTGATTAATTATGGAACTTATACCACTTCCACCAGAAGAAAAACGTTTAATACCTTTAACAACTGGTTTACTTCCACTTCCACGGCTATTCTCTTTAATACTATCAGCGCTGACTTCTTTTTGTACGACCACATCCTCACCAGCAAAGTTTAACACTTCAGTTAGTGTTTTTTTGACAGGTTCATCAGCTAGCTTTTCTATTTTAGGTTCTTCAACAGTGGACTTTGTTTGAACAGAACTCTTAGCTTTATTAGAGATTGAACTTGGTTTGGAGGAACTTATAGCGGTTGTCGAACTTTTTTCTTTTTTAGGCACAACTTTTACATCGCTTAGAAAATCAGCCCAAAGCGCATCAGTACGCGACTTTTCATCATCGTCTGATTCTAATGCATCCTTTTCAATGATAGACTTCTCTTGCGCATTGTTGGAATTAGCTTTTTGGCGTGTGTTTCTTTTTTCTAGTGACGACGAATCAATATCATCATCATTTGAAGTGTTTTCTTTTTTTTGCTTTTTACTACCATTTTTATTAGACTTCTTCACTTTTTTCGCAGATACCACACCGTTTTCTGATTCTTCGATTTCATCGTCCGTATCTTCTTCGCTAAGCTGTTCTATGTTACCGGCATTTTCTGGACAAAAATCTTCATCGCTTTGATCACTATCAGAAGAGTAATCCACTTTTTTGCTCATTTTACTAATGGTTGCTATCTTGTTAAAAATTTGAAGTGTATTAAATGTGTTTTTGAAGATATGCAATCCAAAATTTTTGCAGAATGTGTTATATGCGAACAATTTCAATGAAAAAGTACTAAGAAAATGCTTCTGTAAATGTGGACGTTAGTTCTGTAAAGTGGTAAGTAGGTGTCTCCCTCTTTCACAACTGTCAAAATATACAAAAGATTGCCACCTAATTCCGTAAATAAATAAGCTGTTACAACTGGTATAACAAATTACAAAACTCGTACCCGTAGCCAAAAACCAGCATTTATGTTAAATAAAGCCAAAACATATATATAATGTGTTCAATTAAAAAAAATTAAATTATAAGTATTGTTTTATTTCTATTTAAAATTTTTTTATAATATAATGAAAAATATTAGTTATTAAAATTAGCAGGGCACGAGTTCAATCCCTGGTACTCGTGCCCTTATTTACGAATAATTAAATACAAGAATAATTCCAAGTTCGCTGATGATGGGTATTTGCCAATACTCAAAATTGCTGTTTTATTATTATTGACTTGTTCGGAAATAGCATTTATGAATTTAGTTAAAGCACTCTTGCTCTTAGCAAAACATCAAACAGCTATAACATATAGTCAACCAAAAATTCTATTAAAAATGATATAAAAGAATTTTTGTCGTTGTAGCTTACTTCTTTTCGAAAACTTTATTGTGAAATATATTAAATGTAAATTACTGAAGCTAACAGCTTTATTATAAAAAGGTAATAAATAAATTTATAAATAAATTATATAACGTTAAAAAATATTAAAAACAATTATTCAATTTAATTAAAGTGAATACTGTACGAATGTAGAAAAAATGTATTTTGTCTTGAACTCATCACAAAATTTTATATTCCACTTAAGATATGGTTAATATGGCATTCATTCTGACCTCAAATGACGGATTTGGGTTAAAAATCAGAAATGAGAGAGAAAAGATTAATTTCTGCATACAAAAACTCATATGCGCAAATGAGTTCCGATTGTTGATGAGTTCCAAATGCAAATGAATACATTGAACATACCCTAAATAAAGGTTTTTCATGACATTTTGACAGTTTGAAAAAGCTGTTTTTGACATATTTGCAAAATAGGCAAACATATGTTTGGTGGTTGCATTTCCTTGAAAACGATGAAGCTTTTTTGGAACTTCTACTTCCCAAAAAGTACTTAAAAGTACTTCAAATGAGTGATTTAAAATGCGTCATTTGCGACCATTGTAAATGCAATATAAAGTTGTCGGTGAACATTCATAATGGAGTGATTAATCAACTGAAGAAAAATTTGTTTGGTAAAATTACCAGTGTTATTTCTTGTATTAATTTGTCAAGTACCGCAACCGAATTGCTGCACGCAGTCGATTGCACGACAACACGTCTGCTATTTGCTATATCCTATTCACGCAGCAGAAGTAATGAGATTTTGCAATTTGTATATATCAAAACATTTTTACTTGTTTGGCTCAGATTAGCGAATGAATTAGCATAATTAGCTCTGTATAAAACCTGTTACTCATCTTAACTTGATTTTGTTTCTTATTTCTGTTTTTGTAATTACGTTTTTAAGTAAGTTTTCTAACAATAATATATTTTTTTATTAATAATTTTATTTTAATACTTTTTATTTTTTGATACCCAAACGTTAAATATAAAATACAAGAAATTATTTATTTGAATTTTATAGTACATTCTCACTGTCTCAATTAAGCACTTGCTCATTTATATTAATGAGTAAACGTTCCCTTTATTATGAGCTCATTTATACAGCTGATAAAATTTTTAAAAGCTATTTTATACGGCGTTTACATTGGCCGAAAATGGCTCATTTTGGTCAAAAATCGAAAATGAGTATCGAATGGCTCATTCTTGCATATAAAATTTCAAGCACAAAAATGAGCAATTTTCTCACATTCTGTATGAATGACGTTCGAATGCATTCTACATACGTTCCAAATGCAAAGGAATCCATTGAACATACCCTAAATGAAAGCTCTTCATGGCATTTTGACAGGTTAAAAAGCTGTTTTTAACATATTTACAAAAAAAGGTAAACAAATGTTTGGTGGTTGCATTTTCTTGAAAACGATGCACTGCTTTTTAGAACTTATTACTTCCCAAAAGTATTTTCATCGACAGTTAAAATATGTTTTTAAGTTTTCTAATGTAGGTTTTTCTGAAGGCATATTTAACCTTTTCATGCCAACATTCTTTTTTTGGCAAAGCCCAAAATCAATCAACATCCGCAAGTTGAAAAATCAGCTGTTGAAATGAGAACAAATGAAATAGAACGAATGTAAACACTTTCAAATGGCTCATTCAAAATTTTCGGCCAATGTAAACGCTGTATTAAACTTTACTTAATAATATATCACACAAAAAAATTAATTACATTTTTAATATATCAAATTATTTATATACATTTTATATATCAATTAATAAAAACAAAGATTTTATTAAATACTTCTGACCTCGTGATATTACCACGAACACTTCACTCGAATAGAGTTTATATATATATGACTTATTTACAAAAATAGTCTGGTAGCATTAATATATTTTGACAGTTAATTTTGACATCTGTGCACAGCTGAAATTTTATCAAATGTCAAAGGTTATTTCGTAAATAAAATCAATTCATAATGAAAATAAAGCAAAGTTGTAAAAATATATGTCATATATATCAATAAATGGGCGTAATATAATACTTGCCAAACTTCAGTAAAAGAAAACAAGAAATTTGTTTGTAATTGAAATGAACTAAACAAAATAATATTAATAATATATAAAATAACACCCTAGAGGAATTGGGTCGATTTTTTGATGCAATGCTGAGCAAGCTAAAAAAGTGAAATGGACTTTAAGCAATTATAAAAATAAATAATGAAAACTCATTTGAGTTTTCATTCAGTAGTTTTTGTTAAACTAAGGAAAATGGTAAATTAATATATAATATAAGTAAGTAATTTAATTTTTTTAAAGTTGTAAAAAGATTCTTCAATGTTTTCTCTAATTTAGAGTTTACTCTAAAATTTGCTTAAGCATTTAATTTATTAAAATTACATCGTTTATTAATTACATTAAATAATTATTAATTTCACAACTTAAATACACATATAATTAGGGAATATATAATTTAAATGATAATATACATACTCGTATATTATGGTATTAAAATTTACACTTTATATCGACAAAATTCACATTTTTTAATACTATATTTAATTTATATCAAATTAAACTAAATTAGGGAAATCCTAAATGAATATGATATATAACAATTTTTAAAATATAATAAATATTTATAACTTATAAATTATTTTTTGATTTCAGATCAGCTATATATGAATATTAAAGGGATTTCCTGATAATTACTGGACACAAAGACGTCTCAGCAAGAAAATATTTGTAAATAAAAATTATTTCTAAGTCAAACAATTAATTAAAAATTGCACAAAAGCATTTGAAAGAAAGTACATCTTTAGCTTAATTTAAATGTGATATATAAAATAATTGCGAAATACTACATAAAGTCCAAATACTAAAATAAAACCAGCTACAAAAACCTATAAGCAATAGATTTCTAGCAATCAGGAATATTTACATGCGGCAACTTGTAATGTTATCCTACGCAGATGACTCTGATGAATTGGATACGATCGCAGATGTTATGGGCTTGCGCTCACAAAATCGACTGAACACATTTCGCGAAATGTGGTATCATGTATTTCTATGGGCTCTCTTTTCGTCAATTTTCATACACACATGCGCGGCGTTAGTCGCTTTTGTTACCTTGCGAAAACATAAATTCGGACGTTTCTTTTCAATTTTGATATTAGTGATGGGTTTTCTATCGCCGGCTATGAGTGGCATCATAAGCAGTGCGGTCATTGCGTTTGTACATCGCGCTTCAAGTTTGCCAATGTCACCTATATATGCTATGGTTTGGGGCGTTGGTCAGACAATTGTTTCCGCCTGCTTAGGATTTACTAGAATATTAGCTACACTTTAAATTAAATTTTTTTTAAGTTTAATTCATTTTGTAAATGTTTTCTTATCATCTTGTCTAATGAGCTTTACTATTTTTGTTTATATTATATAAATTTGCTAGGGAAAAATTTTTAAAAAATATATATATTAAAATAATAATAATCGCAATCATATGTAACGAATAATGTATACTTGTAAAAATATTAAACACATTTATATAATTAACTTTTTATTAAAATTATATAGTGTGTGTGTATCTTAAAATAAAATTTACTGTTGTAAATACACATTTCGTAATGAACAAAACATTTTATGATTATTTAAAACACATTATAATTAGTTCTAAGTCAGTTAATAAATGTAAAATATTTTTATTTAACTTTCGGACTAAATTTTTATTTTAACATTTATGTATGTTAAGTTTTGTAGCTACAATATGTATATATATAATTTACAAATGAATTGCAATATAGTCAATACAAATTGTGAATGATAATAGTCTTTGAAAAAAACGATCGTTGTAATAATTAAGGCTTAAAAAGTAACTTTTATAAATCAATTTAAATAAAACAGTAGTACTGTAAATTGCATTATAACTTCAAAATGAATTGTAACAATTTATTCGATGAATTTTGCATCTTATATATATATCAAATATATAGTGATTTCAAGATAACTTTAAACTGACTCATAGATATATCATATATATATACTGTCTATCTTGGATAGACTTTTAGTAATATTTTTACAGGCACTAACACTAACACCTACAAATTTCTCTTAGCAAACGAAAATCGAAAACAATGTGTAGTTGCATTCAATCACTAAAATCTTAACAAAGTCAAGCCTGTGTAGACACTCAGACTGTTCTAGTTTGGCGTTTACACTGGCCAGACTTTTGTAAGCTTTTTATGTTTGAGAGCAAATACATAGTATTTTCGAGTTTTGTTTGTTTTAGTAAAGAAGTAAAAGTGTATATAAAAACTTTGCCAAAGTCTTGCTAATGTGGATGCTGGATAGTAGAATAATATCTTATTATATATGTATATTTAATGTGTTTTTTAATATTACATGATTTTTAATGTCATTTAAATGACATATTCATTATGGATAAAAAAATGTTTAAAGCAGCATCAAAAATTTATTAACTAAAATATATATATATATCGATATCTCAACTCAATATGGTGCTAATCCCAAATTTGCAGTCTTTCCGCATTCCAAAATGAAGTCTTTTTGAATATATCTCACACTATATAAATTATTGAAACTGAATGGTCCTTTGTTTTTTATTAAACCCAATTTATGTCAGTGCGGTTGGAAGGATTTTTAAGCTTTAATTCACAACAAATATAATTGAATACCATTAATTATAAAATTGTCTAACTTATATAGAGAAATTTTTTTTAAAAGAAATGCATAAATGAAAACTTTTTCAGTTATAATTGCTCTAACCATTTCTAAGATAAAAGCACATATATAACGACAAAACTATTAAATAAGAAATATAAAATTTACCTTTCATTATATATTATTCATTTACAAAATAAAGTTTTTAATTCAATACTTACTTACAGTGCCATTTTCAAAACCACAATAATTAATTTAAAGTAATCTAAAATTAAATATAAACTAGACTAATATTATTTGTGTATATATAAAAATTATTAAATATAAATTTAATACAAAAACTGTTTGATAATTTAAAATAAATGGCCAATTTTTTTAAAGGGTTCAATAACTGTGAGGACCTACTCGTAAGGTATTTGTTTTTTGTGTTTACTGGAGTACTGGTCGTCTTTAGCTGGAGTACTTCCGATTATATACGCACAAGCATTCACATATTCAAAATTCATTTATTCACATATTCATTTGAAACAAATTTTTTATACTATTGCCCTAGTAATATTAAACAAAATATTACACTAGTTAATAATGTTTCATATTAAAACTAGGGTAAGCTACTCTATGTATTGTAGTGTGGACCCAAAACAGAGTTATCTGTGAACTACTACATAATATAAGGCGATGGATTACCTACATTGATTAAGTGCGATAACCAAAAAACAGGCAGCTAATGTAGCTTTATTGTTACCAACTCTTTTTGTGAAGATAGACGTTCTTTTTTCTGAAAGCCCTTGTTGGCAGTGAAGGAACAGACTAGTAGGATGGAGAAAACTTGAACTTAAAATATTAAAGTAGAGTTGTAAAGATGGTAGGATGCCATAAATCCGGCCATTGTGCCGCTATCCATTATTGTCACGTCAGTGCCTTGTGGCAAAGTTACTGTCAACATTGAAGCAAGGTCATATATAATTTGATTTATACAACTCAGAAAAATTGATAGAATTATATTAAGCCCTAGCTTCGTCGAATATCAAATTTTTAAGTTCCTAAACCTGTGCATAAAACAGAGAATAATAATTTCTTTAATGTAAATTTTAATAGATACCTTATAAAGTGTAAGATTGTGGTCCTAGTAGAGCTCAATTTAGTATAATTAATATACTGTGCTGATTGTTTGGTAACTTATAATCTAAAAATTCTACATGAATCTAAAAAAATTTAAATTTTTGAGTTGATATTTTTATATTGGCTTCTTTTAAAGTTTCAATTATTAGCTTAAAATGACCTTTATCATCATTTAGGTCATTATAGTCAATGTTATCCATAATTCCTTGAAATATATTTAGTGCATATTTTCCATGATTAACTGAGAAAGCCATTGTTTCAATATCTTCCTCTTTCATTAATATTTTATGGAAGCCACATTCTAAATCTGTAGTTGATAATTATTTTAAAAATATTCTTTCAGTTCAAGAATTACATAACGGTCTGTAATCATTGATTAATTATAATCTTTTAAATCAATTACGAGTCTTGGTTTTAACCTACCATTTTAGGCACTGCCCATTTATATGAACTTATATGGAACTTATTAAATTACAATTGAATTAGAATATATACTGAGGTTCCCACAGTTGTGTGAATTTCAACTCCTATATCCGTTCTGAAGGATACAGCAGTGTTAATATTTAAATGTATTCTTTCTATTTCCCGTACAATTTTATTTCTTACTACTTTGCAACTCATTCTCTTTCATTAATACTAGTATTATTTATTTGAAATGGAGAATCATTCAAGAGTCTCGAATCTTCTTAATATAAAACCTGAAACTTGAGCATTGATAGTTTGTGCAGCCTTGGCTACTTATAGATAAACACGATTAGTCATCGCTTCTAATTTGACAGGCACGGGTTCTAATCGTGGCACTTGCAGTCCAAACAAAATTATATACGGAATATAAACTAATTTAAAAAAAATACCATTATTTCCTAAGACCACTGATGATGAAGACTTGGCAATAGTCGAAACAGCGTTGAATTGTCAGCCAAATTTCAATAAATTAAATAAATTTTTGTCCTTGTCCTTTCTTTGCTATTCAAATCCGTCTAACTTTTAAATAGTTTCTTTTCGTCATAAAGACGCGTCATTTTCGGCAAGAAGAAATTAACATTAAAACATTTTTATTAGGTCTTATATTAATAATACCTTCAGCTAACATCTTAGGATATTTATGTTCTTAAACATAACTATATTTGTTTAAGTCAATTTGTTTGTTTTCATTTAAATTATAAGTATATATATATATATATATATATATATATATTATTATTATTATATATTATATTATTATTATTATATATTATATTATTATTATTGTTAAGGGATGTGGCACTGCGAAAATCTGGTCTATTGTGCCCCCATCTGGGTTTAGAGTAGGTCTCTAAGCCCTGTTGCGTCAATGAAAAGTAGTATAGAATTTACTTTACAAAGTTTTATTGTCTCTTCCTTAAAAATATACATATATTCCCAGGAGTCAATTCCGTTTCTGCAATACCGCAGGGCATTCTAACAGCACATACATATGTGGATCTTTATTCTCTTCGCAGAATTTACAGTTTGCAGCCAAAAGTATATCGAGTCTTGTAAGGTTGTATTTTAGTTTACAGTGCCCCGTTAGGATTTCTTTATATTTATGAGAGAAAGGAACATATTATATCCTAGTCCAGAAACGGTTTCGGCTCCTTTCCTGGCTAGTTTGTCTGCGTATTCGTTCCCGCGTACGCTAGTATGTCCCGGTACCCAAAGAATCGACAGTTGATTTGATTCGCCAAATGCATTTAGTTTATCAAGTATATATATTACTTGGCATATCTTTTATATATCATTTTTCTTTTATTACGAATAAATTTCTCGATTTAAATTTAGGGTAATTTTTCCTTTTCTTATGAGATAAAACCTATTAATAAATCTGATTGTAGCCCTTCGAATTCATAAAAATTTCTTTAAGTCCAAAAATAATTACTTCTGTGTAATGAATTTTTATACTACATCCATTTACTGTTCTTGGTTGGTTGGTTGGTTGCAGTAGCAGGCCTTTACATTACTTCCATGTACCTCAATTAGTTATTTTTCGCCGGCAAAAGAACAATAGTATAGAAGAGTAGAGACTAAATCCATCTCGCCGAATTTAGATAACTTAATATGTCTTTCGTCTTCACAGATGAACAGTCTGATAAAATATCAAAGAAATATCTTCCAAAGAACCTATATCTTCTGGACTCCAAAACCGGGCATTCACAGAAAAAATGTATTATGGCTTCTTTTCCCTGCGGGTTTCCACAACTTCTGCAGTGAGGATTACGGGGAATACACAGTTTCTCTGCATGTGTTACTATTCTTTCTCTTTCTTTTTATTTGTAATTTATATCTATTTGTCAAAATATTAGGTGTTTTGATTATTTTGATTATTAACATATATTTTGGAAAAGAATAAATATTAAATGTCATGCTTCACCGTACTTTTCTTTATAATGTTGAACTAGAATTATATTCGAAATATACTTACTATTTTTAATATAATTATCACAGTGTATCGGAGCGTCAATAACCTATCTGACCCAACTTCTATGTCTTTCGGTCCATATTACAGTGTGGTCTTCTGATAGTGTGCTATATCCAGCACTATTTGTGTTTCCATATTTTACCTATAGCTCTAGTTTGATCAGTTTGAGTATATAGATCGGTGTTAAATATTCTCTAAGTGACCTGTGTAACTTAGAGAATACCTTAAACTTATTTGAAAACCTTAGATTATATAATAGGGGTACTTAAATTGTGAAGTAGTCTCAAGTCCTTACTGTTACATTTTTTCTTGCATAAATGGGTACACATGATCTGCTAAATCTTTTTTTATCATTTTCTTTCCAGTTAAGTTAATTGACGAACTAACTTTGTAAACTACAGATTACGAGCAAAAACAAAGTTCAATATATATTGTGAACATAAATCCGCATAAAAGCTGTTAAAACGTTTGAGTTTTCCGAATACTGAAAATGGAGCACATAGAAACTCTTTTAAAATCATAAGTGCCGCTTAATACCACAAAAGTTAAAAAAACGGTGGTACAAATTAAGGAGCAGAATTTAGAACCTCAGAAATTGGAACTGCCCGAAAAACAATGTTATGATTTGTGAGCGATTACTGTAAATTATAAGAATATAAAAACTCTATATAAATCATGTAAAATTGTGTTAATTTAAAATTATTTATTCACAATTCAATAGATTACCAAGTAAAATAATTTGACTTATAAGCTATGCAAGTTAAATAGTAAATAAAATGTTAATGCATAAATTTTATAAATACATTTTTCTAAACAAGCGCGTTCGGATCTCGTGTATTGTAAATTGTATGCAATTTTTTACTCAGGACATTTCCAATACGGCGATCTGTTTGCAGTGGCTGTGGTCCACCTCTGCTTATTCTTAATTCAGCAATAACATCTGTTGCATTCGGATTATTTTCGTATTCTTCTAACAATTTTTTTGGACAAGAATATTGGGAAATAATTGACTCTGCAATTTCCAAAGTGACGAGTGGAAGACGATTCAGATGCTGCTGCCACAAACGTCCAAATCCATTTGTGCCTACAACTCGCACACACTGTTTCTTATCGTTTGCTAAATATTTTTTGAATCCTCCAAGTGTTTCCGATTTCTGTTGCTTATATGGTGCTTCTGCAATTGATTTTGTAAAACGCCGTAGCAAAGCAACCAGCTCTGCCATCTTTGCTGGTATTTCGGTTACATTAAGAGAGTGCATAATCTGCATTTCTATCAAAGCGTTGGAAATAGTACTATTTTGTGACTTTTTCTTTTCATTGTGCATTATACCAATTGTATGTTGTTTGTCGGGATACAAGCTACGAAGTTTGTCCACCAAATTTATCAAGCTTAGGTCTTTTACTGCGTATTGTAGTTCATTTGCGCTAATTATTTGTAAAACTTGATTTTCTGTTTTCCACTCTTCATCAAGAGGATTGCTTGACTCTTCTGCATCACTGGGTAAAAGTTGTCTTTGTCCAACGCTACGCTCCCAAATAATGCAATTAGCGACTTGCAGGCGACGGACTTCATATTTTAGTTGAGAACTTGTTAACTCGGCCAAGAATTCTTGACCAAAAGAATCACTGATTAAACCATTGTCAATCACCATACGTACATATTTGAGACATTCTCCTGGTTTCATGCGCTTCTGTTGATCTCGTATTACTTTTTTCCATAATTTGTCAGCTTTGTTATCCATTAAATAAAATTATTAGAACCAAAATTCGTGTGCGTGGAACTTAATTCATATTTTTGAATTACTTAGCATCCACAAACAGCATGGTTGCATTTGTTGCTCTTACATCAAACATTGAGTTTGCAAACACAACAACACTTGTACAAAATATGTCTTCTTTCAACATGAATACTCCAAAAGAACACATGTCGCTTAAAAATATATATGTAAAGCAAAAACAAAATTCGCAAAAATAAGCTCACTTTTCTGAAATTACTTAACGCATAAGCAACTCGCATTATAATAGTGCCAAACCTTGAAACTGATCTATTGTGGAAGATTTTTGAAAGCAAATGGGAAATTCCAGTCAGATGACAGAGTATAATTAAAATAATTTTTTAATAAAATTTATGAAAATGACTGTTAGGTTAGTAATTATGAAGAAGTCATTCGAATTTATATAGTATAATTGAAGCGACAGCTTAAATAGCACTTAAAAGGGACTTAGCACATGTGGTACTAAGACGGAGTTGCAGGCAAAGCTGTGTGAGGCTACGGAGGTAAGCGGTGTATATATAGATGACGAAGAATTCGCTGAAAAGACATCTAAAAGCTAAGTAGGTGGGCAATGGTGAATTGATGAATTTATGAAGATGATTTAAAATTAAATGATATCCAAATTAAATTTTTCAGTTGGATGCTGTAGCAATTAATATATGTTATTGATTACCCCACGAAGGCAATAACATAAAACAAGTTTTTACCTCGATTTAGAAGTGATACATATTTTTAAAGCGTTAAAAATAATTAAGAGCTCATGTGTTCACACCTTTATATGAAATACTAAATTTTGTTAAATGAAATGCAACCGTGAGAATTGTTCTACAAGCACAATAAGGTAAATATTTAGTATTTAACAAAGGCAGCGTATACACGTGTTTGTAGCCGATAACGGAATTGGTGGAAATTCTCATTTTCTTAACTAAATAAATAAAAGAATCCGACAATGTATTTAATGTATACTTTAAATGAAAACGGTGATCGAGTTTATACGCTGAATGTATGGTGAATATATATAAATTTGAAACTTTTCTAAATTTTCTTTTGTTATTTAGAAACGCACCGAACTGGGACTGCCAACAACGTCAGCGCATCCAGCACGATTTTCACCAGAAGATAAATATTCCAGGCATAGGCTGACGATTAAAAAGCGTTTCGGACTCCTACTCACACAAAAACCACAACCTGTTTATTGAATAAATTTATCTTTAAGTGGCAGAATTGTAAAAACAAAGGCTTCGTTAATATAATAAAATTAGAGTATTAAGAAAATTTATTTTATTATAAATTTCGTTTAAGGCCTGCAGTATAATCAAACAGCTTTGGATTCTTAAATTCTCCTCGCATATCGAGCACATAATACAGCGATTTGTTTTTTACTTTAATTGGTAATTGTACTTTAGCTAATTCACGTGCCTCCTGTGCAGACATGCAATTCAAGGGTACATCCATAATGCGATTTCTATTGAAAGGACCATAGGTAACAAACGAAACGGCATTACCACCTTTTCTTAGTATAAGAAATCGCACTGATCTTAGTGTAAACATCCAAACAGAAAACAAAATGCCATAACCTATAATGAATCAGAGTTTAAATTGTACTTTAAACAAACAACCATCAAAAAATTACCAACTAAAAAGCAAAATACGCTAATTCCATTTCTGTATTTGTTTTCTCCAAGATTAATACGTTGGTACCACGATAACTCAACTTCAGGATTTTCCTCGACCGGTGCGTCTTTTAAAGTTGTCAGTGCAAAATGTGATAAATAAGTCCAGAACACAAATTGAGCAATCCCGAAAATATTTATTACCTTATAAAATTTTGGGTTCTCGTATGTAAATAGTACTACATCTTTCGCAACATTTGTGTTGATGTCTATATTTCTAGTGCAGAAATTTCTTGATATCACGCTCAGGCCTGAACGAAAACCGCCGATAGAATTGCAATTTTTGATTATCGCCTGTTGAAATAATGTTGTCGTTTTCTGAAGTCTATATGGTGGTAATCTTATACTATTTGTCGAACACCTCAGAGCTATACTTAACATAGAACTCATCTTTAACGAAAAAAATAAATATTTGGAAGTTACATATCTTCATCAAAAGCTAACCTAACAAACTTGTCAGCTGATTTTTTATAAAGCTGCCCATGGGCGACCGATGAGGTTTGACACTCAAGATTGAAGCGAAGGTATGTGTGGCATATTAAGAAACTTTACATTTAGGGTGTTCACGGAGCACAGGTTAGCGGGTTATGTGCTTATGTTAGCAACAACAAAATACACTGAATGAAAATAGCCAACTTTGCGCGACTCTGCCCTCGTTTAACAATTAGGTGTGTAAAGTACAAACTGAGAGCGTAACACAAATAAAGTGGCAAATTACACGATATTTTCATGGAACAGCTTTGTGTCAAATTTGAATTGTGAATTTTGAGTTGGCGTCACTAAAATTTGCAGATGGTTTCGTTTGTAATATTGGCAAAAGTAATTAAAAACCAAAGTGAACGTTTGAAAACGAACGAATATTCACAGGTAATGGTACGAATAACATGAACATGCTTTTTTGTAGGTTATCTGGAAAATTGTACTCAATCAGCTGTTTTGTGTTGTCGTCAGTTCAGAGAATTTCACACGTACCATTACCTGAAAAAGTTTGTTCGTTCACAAGCGTTTGCTTTGGCGTGAATGTACCTTAACTAATTTATATCCCTTTTTCAATGTCTAATGAAATCTGAAAAGGTGAAGGAGATTATATGGTATTTCGAGAACAACAAAAAACAGCTGATTGTGTAAAAATAACCAGATAACCTAAGCAAAAGCATGTTCATGTTATTATATGCTGTCCGAATTTTTATATATTAACAAATTTATTAAGGAAATTATTAAAAACTCATTGAAACTATCGGAATCAGTTATTGTAAAATAATTAAAAAATATATAAAAAAATTTAAATGTCACTAAATATAATTGCAGGTTTCGCCGTAAACTATTAAAATCAAAAATTATTTCAAAAGACCATATCGGTTCAAATGTTGTTTTCTAGATAAATTAAAAAATTGAGAGGGAGAGAAAGTATATCGAAACTTTTATAAAGAAGGATAATATAAACAGAATCATAATAATGTAACCAAATAAAAAAGATAGCAAAAATAACAAAAAATATTAAAACCTAAACAATAATCTGCTCAATTTACATGCAAAGCAATAATAGTACGCTTACACTGGCCCTAAATGACTGATTTGGATCAAAAATTACAAATGAAAAACATACGACTGGTTTCTGTATACAAAATCCCATATGCGCAAATGACTGGTTTCGTATAAATAAGTTCCTACGAGTTTCAAGTGAATTCCAAATACGTTTCAAGTGCATACATTGAACATACTGTAAGTAATAGTTTTTCATAAAATCTTGGCATATTTACAAAAAAAAAGGTAAACAAATTTGATTGCATTTGATTTGGGATTGCTTGCAATGAGTCGTGAAAGCAATTGAACTGGTTCACATTGTGGTTCAATGTGAAATGTATGTTCAAAATAAAAGTGAAACGTATATTACACAAAATCGTTGGCAATGCGACTTTAACATATGATAAGGTACAGTAAAAAATAAAATCAAAACAGCAAGTGAAAACATGGAGTTTGGCGGAAAAGAGTAACACTTTATTATTTTTTAATTTAATAACTGTTATGCAAATTTGAATTATTAAATTTTCAATATTTCCATGGTGATGCACTTCATCCTAATTACTTTTACATGTGATCTGTATTGTTTCAGCAAAGAAGATCCATATCGTTGTTTACTGAAACATGGCTAATGTAAATGGTTGGCATTTATGTACGAACTTTAGGCAAATTTCGATAACTAAAGTTCGTAATGTACACATAAAATTCTACTTCCATTCATGTGCTCATCAAGATGTTTGTATAAAAATACCGTATGTCGTTGCACTTTTTTCGAGGCTCTTTACTATTATTAAATGTAACAATAATAAATACAATACAATATATATATAAACATTGAGAAATGAAAGTGAATGTGTGATCACATAATATTTTACATTTATTTTGTTGTAAAACATATGTTAAAAATTTTTTCAAGTACTGTACATGCAGAAATAAATTTGTGGGCCATATTGTGGAACTACTTACACTGTTGTGTTGCCATTTGTCATATTTGTGTTGTCAGTGGTGGTAGTGATATCGCGGAGATATAAGTGCGGATGATTTTATAGCATGTTTCAATATATTTATTAAATTATTGAGGTTCTATAATATTTTAGTAACGTAAAAAAATATTTTGTATAAAACAATTTGTAGCATTAAGGTAGGTCTTCACAAAAGTTAAAAATTTATTTAATAAAAATGCCGCTAAAGTTATATATCGATATAGTGAATTTCTTGTTTTTGCATATGAAACATAATTTTTTTTTGTTTTAAAATAATTTTATTTAATATTAGTTTCTAAAGTGTTTAACTGTATTTGTTATATACAAAAAGGAAATTAAAATTAATTTTAAATTTGTTTGTTATAAAAATGTATTAAAATAAAAAAACAAAACAAAAAGCAGGGTTTCCACATATTTGCTTTGATATATTTAAGTGAGATTCACTTGTGATTACTTTCGTTTTCCATATGGAAAAGTGGTAATAGAGAGAAAAGATCAGCTCTTCAGGATGTAAATTTTCTATTTGAAGAAACATGACTTTTATTATATAATTAATTAGATATTTATGGTCTACTGTAGAGTATTTAATGAGTTACTTAAAAACATTAACATCACAGTAGTCATTGGACACTTTATAACATTTTCCGCTTAAACCCCAAAAAGGTTTTTATTGTTCAGATACTATATTAACTACTATAATTTGAATAAATCATGACTATACACTAATCAAAAGGTTTGTTTTTAATTATTAGTTTCATTTCTTTTTTGCTCTAAATTAACTTTATAGTTCAGATTAATATAATATAAAAAAATATATTAATAAGATTAATATACTTGTGTATATATATTTGAACAAACACACAAATATTTGCCAACATATAGAATTTATGGATATGCAAATAAACTCAACTTATGCTTTAGAGAAAATAAAAATAAAATGTATTAATTGTTTTCATTATATAGATTAACTAGATGTATATACTCTATTATTATTTTCTCTGTATATTTATTTGCACATCTATTATTTTCTAAATGTTGGCAACTCTATTTTGTAATAATGGGCGATGAATTACTGAGTATATGCAGACCTAGTTAAGTTATTTCTTTGACTTCATTATGGAAGGACGATATATTTAATATTTTTCTCTGATCCTGTATAACATATCCTTTCTATCGGTTGAAATCTAATTTATAGGAAATTATTTTTACTTTCCTTTAAAATCCAGAAATATTCATCAAGAATTTACTTTCTTACAATATAAATCTTAAATCGCGAGAAAATTAACTAAATATTTCTCAACTTTCTTAATATGCCGTTTTATTCCAAAACTCTAATCAATAATCAGTCGAAAAACGTAGCGCTTGCTTCGCAAGCACAACGACACTTCTCAACACATACAAACAAACAATGTAAGAGAGAGTTCGGAAAAGTAGGTAAACTAAAATAGTTGAGCCAATGTCTATTTCTATATTTAAAAACGTACTTATCTAATTGAGTTTTCTTATATTTCTATGAGGTCTACAAAAACTTTTCTGTTTGATATTTCCATTGTTGCAGTTATTCACTTATGCATGCAGGCATACATATACGATAGAATCGCCCAATGGGCTTAGTGGACTGCAAACATTTTTCATAAATCTTACAAAAATGTTGTTTAATAACTAAACAATTATCGGTTTGAGATAAAAACTCATCCAAAACCTTTACAATCCAAATTTTCCAATCTAAATGTTTCAAATTATTCTTTATTTTTTTTTTTCGATTCGAACACGTTTCATGTGTGTATATTAAAATGCGCACATAACACAGCAAAATATTCCATGGTTGCACGTGTATATCCTCACCCCGCTGACACACAAGAGACGCTTCGTTGCTTTTCTTGAAATACGTCTGTTGTTCGCATATAAAAATATATACTATATCGGATATTATCCCAATTCTTTTCAGATCTCTGTTTAGTTCTATGTAAGACTGGGTTCTGGGGCATTGACGAACACTTTTCGGTTTGGTGTCGTTTTGCTTAGTATGCATTATTTGTGAATTTTGTTTTTGTTTGCTTTAAGTTTTTCGTTTGCTTGTTGGCAGCACTTTTTCAACGGTTAATAATTAAAAAGCTTTTGATATTCTTGGAAGTAAGATTGAGACCTATAATTTCTAAAACATTACGTAATAAAATACGATTTTATTGATTTTATTATATACATCCAAAATTTCTTGGTTGGTTGTGTTATCTCTTTTTTACTCTCGCAGCCATTTTAGCAAAACTGTAGACGTGAATGAGTTCTCTGTCTTGCGTTTTGTGTAAAGCGGTTGCGGCAAAACTATCAAGCAGCTGACATTTTTTATATATTATATTTTCTTTTTAAAGATTTTTAACAAAAAAAAATCTTACAAATAATTACTTGTATTTTTTTCGAAGATTTCATAAAATAAAATTTTTTTCCCGCACAATTAGTGCACAAACTTATATTTACGTTTAATGTATGTTGTCAAACAAAGCAAAAGAGAGTTTTGCTCGTATTATTTTTAGGTCCAACATGATTTTGTTTCTTTTAAAACATCCAGTATTTATGTTTTAAAAAATAGGTCTTTCTCTAAGTACAGTTTTTGACAGGTCTTCTTATGATTATAACAACATAATTTTCAAAGCAATGACACACACTCGCTGCTTTGGTTACATTTGCATTTACATATATGTATGTGTATGTGTGTGTATACACAGGTAGAGCAGGCTTATCATCTGCTGATATGGAAATTGGTTTCATTTCATTTTTTGATCAAACAAATACTATTACTGTATATTAGAGTAACATGTCTCTTCTAAAAGATATACCTAACCGATTTTTGAATTATTCCAATATTCCTCACAATACGTTCCACACTTTGAATTTTGTTTTTTGGTGTGAACATAAGCATAACAGTTTTTTACACTGTAAAGAAAAACAAAAAACATTCATATAACAAAAACAAATTAATTATAAAGAATTAAAAGAATATTATATTGTGAAAAAATAAAAATAAAATAAAAGTAAAAATATTTTCATCGTCATCACTGTGCTCGTATATAGCTTTCTTGCTCTGCCTCTCTAAATTTGTATTACATAAATTATCTCTCTTTGTTGTTTTTTTATGTATTGCATACAACTGAAGTCATTGAATAACGAAAATTTTAAAATTCTCGTTGAAATAAATAGAAAATATTTGATAAGAAAATTATTTTAAAATTAAAAATTTGGAAAGAAATTTAATTTTTTTTATATATATAATTAGCTTATATAACTTATATATGGGTATATATATAACCGGAATTTTTTTTTTAATTATTTTTAATTAAATATGGTTACTTTACTTATAACTAAAGTTATTACCCAAATTCATTATCAATTTGGAATATGTGGTCAACTTTTTCTATTAAGCCCCGTATGAAATGTGGAAAAGTACAGTACTTAAAATTCTCGTGTGTACATACAAGCTACATTGTAAAATAAACAGACGTACAAATAAAAAACTAGAGAGCGAAAAGTTGAATTGTTGCGTCTATGTGTGTGTGTTTGTGTATACATATATATATATATGTAGATATGTATAAGTAAATTCAAGTTCCTCACCAATTTATTTTTTGTAGAAATAAATTAATATTTATTTTATTCTAATTATAATTATTAAAATTGTTATTAAAACTTGCAGTTTGAAATAAAAAAATTTTATTATTGTTAAAATTTACTTTCTACATAAATGATCCAATTTTGTGTTTTCTTTCTTTCGGTTAAGGTTCCGACATATTCTGCAACAGTCTCTCGTCTTACAGGTCAAAGGTCATTAATTTATATATCATATCATATATAAGAATATTATTTTTTTCTGAAGAATTTTTCTTCTAGTCCAAGAGTTCCATTAATATTCTTTTCCAAATATCGGTCGACATTTTGCACCTTTTCAGTTCAGTCGCTGCAAACTGCGGTGTGGCATGTAAACGAAATCAATAAAACCGGAATAAAGCACAACAGTAACAACTGCGCACAGTTGTGTATGTGACGTTGCTATTCTGGGGTAAAGTATCTTCTGGTTTAGCTATTGATTGTCAGATCTGAACCAAGTATAAAATTCAAAGATTTTTAAAATATCTGTGTATATTTTTTTTTTTCTATATTGATATTATAAAATACTACCAGATTTCGAGGGAGTTAAAACGGTTCTTCTTATGAGAGACTTTATGTCACACCCATTTTTTTTTTTTTTGGCAAATATTTTAAGCGATTTTCGAGTTATGTGCAGAAAAAAAAACAATATTGAAAGATATCTTTATACTTTAGTATGGCGGAGTTATGCTTGTTAGTTTCGGAGTTGTAAAGTTGTGATAAAGGTTCATCGACTAAAGCTTAATTTTATTTGCAGTAGTTCCAAAGATATCCATAATTCAAATTTTATTTTGTTTTTTTATTCTCATTTTCTCATGTCATAAATATATCTTCAGTTTGTGTAATTTTAAATGTCGCTTTGTATTTCTAATTCTCTTGCGTTTACTCTCTCACAAGAGATATGCGACGGCATGCACAGATGTACGCGGTGTGTGCGGTTGTGTGCAGAAGCAAATCGGAAAATACTAATAAAGGCGTCAGTGTGGAATTTTATATTTTTTCGTTTTTAAAATTAATTTTTATTTTTATTTTTTTATTGTATATTGTCCATAATTAATTTTATTTTTGATTCCAATTCCGATTCCTTGGTAAATATACCACAATCAGAAATTAATGCATTTTCATAATTGCAAGTGCGAATTAGTCCACATTGCAAACTTTTTTTATTAGTAAATTTTTATGCAAGGAAGGACTTCAATTAAAAAATAATTACTGCGAAATTAATAAAATTTATTATAAAATTATAAATTAACATTCCCAAGCATCTATATTTTGATATAAATATTCTACCTGAATTCTGTTCCATTTTTGTTCTTCTCTCTTTTTATGTTCTCTCTTTCACCTTCTGCTTTTCATGATTTTTTTTTCGCTTTTGCACACAACTATGTACATTATGTGTATGTATCCATTGCATTTATAAAACGGAAAAACAAGAGTCAAATAGATGCGAAAATAAAAAAAAAAAAAACAATGAATTTATAAAAACAAATACGCTTTAACTGTCAGTTAAACTTGAGTC